AACTGTTTAGAGTTGTAGGGGAGCTGACGCAGGTGCCACCTGTGCAGAACCCACAACAGCCTGCTGTGATGAGTTTAACAACTTCTTTGCAGATAAAAATCTCTCAGATAAGAGCCGACTTAGATGCCAGTGTTGTAACGGATTCAATTGATGAGGTGTCCAGCAATTCTGTTAATGAAATTATATTGGATCAGTTTCAATCTGTGAGTACCGATGACGTGGACAAGCTCCTTGGTAGAGTGAGGAAGACAACCTGCCCTCTTGATCCTTGCCTGTCGTGGCTGACCGTCCGGGGGGGGATGCCTTGAGGATGTTCCTTAGGGACATTGTCAATGCATCCCTCAGGGAAGGCCATGTTCCATCTTGTTTGAAGGAAGTGGCAGTTAGGCCGCTTCTGAAAAACCCTTCCCTGGACCCCTAGATATGAACAGCTGTAGGCCGGTCTCCTTACTACCTTTTTAAAGCAAAGTGATCGAGAAGGCGGTTGCTCTTCAACTCCAAGCTGTCTTGGAGGAAACTGATTATCTAGACCAGGGGTAGGCAACCTTTCCCTTTAAGGGCCGAGGGACTTCAGCTCCTAGAATCCCAGGAGCTATTGGCCAACATGGGACTATTGGCCAACATGGCTGAGGCTTCTGGGAGCTGAAGTCCCTCGGCCCTTAAAGGGGAAAGGTTGCCTACCCCTCATCTAGACCCATTTCAAACTGGCTTTAAGACAGGATTTGGAATTGAGACTGCCATGGTTGCCTTGGCTGATAACCTCCATCTGCGCATCCACACTCTTAGACCTCTCAGAGGCTTTTGACACAATAGAGCACAACATCCTCTTGGATCACCTGAGAAAGTTAGGAATTGGAGGCATTGCATTGCAGTGGTTTCGTTCCTTCCTCTCGGGCAGATCCTAGAGGGTGATTCTCAGGGGCAGTTGCTCCACCAGGAAGGAGCTTAATTGTGGCATCCCTCAAGGCACCGTCCTGTCCCTGATGTTGTTCAACATATATATATGAAGCCGCTGGGAAGGATTATCTGGAGTCATGGGACGGGGTGTTATCAGTATGCTGATGACACCCAGATATATTTCTCCATGTCTCGGTCGTCAGCTATGACTTCATATGGCGTCTCTCCCTTCAATGACTGTCTCAAGGCACTAATGGGGATGAGGAAAAACAGATTGAGACTGAATCCAGATAAAATGGAGGTGCTTGCGGTAGCAGTCCCAAAACTAAGTATTGGGATACAACCTCCAGTCCTGGGTGGGGTCACACACTCTGCTAAGGACTGTGTCCGCAATCTGAGGGTGCTCCTGGATCTGTCACTCCAGATGACTAATCAGGTAAATGCGATGGTCAGGAGCGTCTGTTATCAGCTTCAGTTGATACGCCAACTGTGCCCTTTCCTGGAAGTAAGGGACCTTGAAATTGTGGTGCACGCGCTGGTAACCCTTTGTCTTGATTTCTGTAATGCGCTCTACATGGGGCTACCCTCGTGCTTAGTCCGGAAACTTCAATTAGTACAGAACATGGCAGCTAGGTTGGTCTTGGGTACATCAAGGAGATGGTCATATAACACCTGTCTTAAAGTCACACCACTGGTTGCCTATCAGTTTCTGGGCTCACTACAAGGTGTTGGCTATGACCTTTAATGCCCTAAATGGCTTGGGTCCAACCTATCTTCAGGACCGCCTCCTTCCATATAATCCACCCTGCGCACTCCAGTCCTCTGGGTTGCTTCAACCTATAAAAACAAGCCATCTGCAACCTCCCAGAGGGCCTTGTCTGCAACAGCTCCCAGATTATGGAATGGCCTGCCGGACGAGATCCATTATATTACCAGTTTAAATAGCTTTTAAAAAAGCTGTGAAGACAGATCTCTTCCAGCAGGCCTTTCCTGATTAGATCTCCCGGCCTTAAAAGCTAGTCCATTCCTTCTACTCTTTGCCACACTTATGCTGCCTGTCCACTCTGCCATTGTGACTCGTCTTATCTGTTCACTGTTTTATTGTTTGTTGCTGTTTTAACTTTTTGTTGTTTAATACTATTTTAAGGGTTGGGTGGGTTTTGGGATTGTATATTTATGGTGTTTTATTGTTGTAAGCTGCCCTGATTGCATCTGTAGAGGGGTGGGATATTAATTAATAATAATAATAATAATAATAATAATAATAATAATAATAATAATAATAATTCTCAATATATCCGAAGTGGAATGAGATAACAGGACTAGAAAAATGATTGGCTATATCCCCAATGCTTTATTTCCCTGCAATGGCGATCAATCCTTTGCATCCCCACAGAGGACTTTTTGAGCCTTGCTGTGTGTGGGCAGAAACTATATAAGGAGGTGCGGATCTGCACACTGGCTCACATCAGCCACCTCCACCTTTGATCTTCCACATGTTCCACATCAAGGGACATAAATACAGACCAAGGGCCTAAGCAGACGGGCAGCCATGGGCTGCCCCGAGAAGCTGCAGATTGGGCCCAAGGTAGCCGCACTCCTCGGCCCCAATCCTCCCCTTTTCGGGCCCTGGAAGGAGCGCTAAAATAGCACTCCTTCTGCAAGGCGCCGAAGGTGCGCCACAAGAGGCGTTGGGCGCACCTTCGGCGTCTCTTCTGCCGCAGTGTCACATTAGAAGGAGGTCACATTAGAAGGACCATGGAAAAAGGGATAATTCTATAAGACAAACACAGTTTTACTGAAGCAAAATTCGTTTTACAGCATATAAAGGGGAGTTTAAACATGACACCTATTTAAAAGTGTGTATACACGTATGTGACCTGAAAAAACTGAGGTGCCAAATTTTACACGGATGAACCTTAGTCCAAGTCATGTATTTCCCCCCACCCCAGCCTCCAGCCCCCAGCCCCAGTGTTGCCTTGTTTTTCCCACAGCAAACATGATATTGATTGAAAAATATTTTAATTTAACAGGCAAAGATTAGATAATTGTTATCCTGCAGAATTAATTGAAATGGATAGTAGCCAATTTGTAGCTTTTGATGCAACATAAGGACACTCTAGGCCTATCAAGGCTGAGCAAAAAGTTGCATGGGTGCTCCTGTCATTTACATAGGCAGCACAATGCTCCCTAGGTCATATAAGCCAATGCCAGCCCTTTGTGAAAAGCAGCCCCACGTCTTAAAACATTTTCCTTCCTATGTAATGAAGCACACAAAACTGATGCGAAGCTTGAGTGTTTTGCTGCTTAGCTTTTTCTGGAAGACCAGCCAATGTGCAGCAGCCCAGTTAAAATACACATGCTGTACAATTTTACCTCTCCACAGCATTAAAAGCAGATTTTAAGCATTTATGACAGATCTCTGTACCAGGAAGGAAAACTAAGAAGTTATTTCTGTTGTATGATCATCTCTTAGCAATAGCCATCAAGCTAACAAGTCATCTGGGACCATTTCACACCAGACAGTTATAGCACTATGATTCCACTAACTGCCATGGTAACATCCTGTGAAATCCTGGGACCAGATGTTTAGGGAGGAAAACTGGGAATTTTCAGCTGGAGAGCTCATTTGGTGCCTCTGTCCAGACTACAAACCCGAGGAAGATTCCATAGGATGCAGCCATGGCAGCTAAAGTGGGAAAATAGTGCTACAATTGTGTAGTCTGTAATGGCCTTTGATGTTAAGTTTAAGTCTAAAGAAGTAGCAACTTTAGACACTAGGTATGTACAGTGGGCTCTTGGTATCCGCAGGGGTTCCAGGACCCCGCGTGGATACCAAAATCCATGGATACTCAAGTCCCATTATATACAATGGGTTAGTAAAATGGTGCCTCATATATAAAATGGCAAAATCAAGGCTTGCCTTTTGGAATTTATATATTGTTTAAATATTTTCAAGCCGTGGATGATGGAATCCATGGATAAAGAATCAGCCGATACAGAGGGTCGACTGTAACCACTCCTGCTCAACTTCAAATACTAGAAAATATTTTGTAATGGCAAGGCATGTAGGCCTTGTCCCAAGAGCACCATGTGGAGTTTAAAATCCACTATGACTAGAGGAAATGTTAATTCAATGTCTCATTATGGAGAAAACTAATATTTAGACAATATTATTTCTACAAATGGAATACTCTCTGAGTACAGTGAGGAGGAAGCAGTGAAATCTGTAAGCTTTTGTCCTACAGATGCTACACTGACAAAGAGAATATACAATCAAACTGCTAATATTTGCCATGCTTTGAGTCTTGTTCTCACAAACTGTTATTCCAAGGTGAACTAATACAAGTACTTTGTTTTATTATCGGTTTATACAATAATCGATTTAATCTAAGGACAAAGTGAGGAAGGAAGAAAAAGGAAGAAAAGAGCCCCTAATAATTAGGAGCTCTTCCTAAAACCTGATTCTTTTACTATTTTGCATGCTTATCTGAAGGATTATATGGAATTCAGATTTCATAGCCTATGGGTGGCTGCACATTCAATTTCAATTGATGCAATACATATTTGTTGTTGGCTTACAGACTGTGGCAAAAACATTACATTACCAGGTGACATGTCTAAGGGTGTAGGCACACTGCACAAATAAAGCAATTTGACACTACTTTAACTGCCATGACTCCATCCTACAGAACCTAGAGATTTGTAGTTTGGTGAGGCACCAGAGCTCTCTGCCAGGCCAGTCTGCATACCTCACCAAACTACAAATGGAGCCATAACAGTTAAAGTGGTGTCAAAATCGCACTACACTCTTATAGCGCTGTTATTCCACTGTAACTGCTCTGGCTGCCTCTTGTTGCATTCTGGGATTTGCAGTTTAGGAAGGGACATTTAGAATATCCAACCAGAGAGCTCAATATTCTAAATGTCCCTTAGAACTACAAACCTCAAAATGAAACAGGAGGCAGCCAGAGGAGTTAAAGGAGAATAGCAATACTTTTAGTGTGTAGTGCAATAATCTCCTAAATCACCATTCAGACATGGTTTCTTGTGCAGAATAGTTGCTATACCAATATAATTTCAAGCTATGCAGGCATGTAGTTATGGGGAGGGTTAGGGTTAGACAAAATGAGTACATTGCCCCCATTACAAATTCTGCCATCCAAGGAATTTTAGTTCAGTCCCCAAATTTCTAGCATTGCAATAACATGAAACTTCAGTGGAGAAGCGAGAAATACAATTTAGGTATCCAAAGAAAAGGGGCAGGTAAAGTGAGCCAGTATGGTATAGTGGTTTGAGTGTTGGACTGTGACTCTGGAGACCAGGGTTTGAATCCCTGCTCAGCCATGGAGCCCCACTGGATGACCTTCAGCAATTCACACTCTCTCAGCCTTAAGAGAAGGCAATGGGAAATGTCCTCTGAACAAATCTTGCCAAGAAAACCTCGATAGGTTCACCTTAGGATCACTGTAAGTAGGAAACAACTTGAAGACAGACAACATCAACAAAAGTGACCAATGCAAACAGCAAATATAATAGCTCTACATGTAAATGATATTCAGCGTGTCACTCTCTGCAAGGGTAGAAATTTAGGGACTGAAGAAAAATTTCATGGGGGCCAGAACTGGCAATGAGCTCATTTTTAATGTGATAATTACCAATTGCATCCCGTAAGTGACTGGCATTCGGCAGGGTAAGTCACTTTCTTCTTTCATGTGATAAACTCCTAAGTTTTGTTTTTTAATAAGGTGCAATGAAAAGGAAAGAAGGGTTGGATGTTGGGGAGAAGATGGGGTTCTGGGCCGAGTGTATGACAAGGTACGAAGAAATCTTGGAACCAAACTAGAACCAAAATATTAAAAATGTGTGTTATCCTCTAGAGGACAGAAATATTTTCTGTTGTATAATACCAATCCTGTGATATAAACTGAAACAAAGACATAAACTATTTTGTGGTAAGCAGCATGTTAAATAAATAAATAAATAAGCAAATATAAACAAAGGAATATAATAAATGAACAGATACCTTCTCTGCTAAATTATAAGGCCAATATTCTAACTTTTCCACAATAACAGAAGCAACATATTAAATCACATCAGATTCATCACAAAAATCCAAATTACCAAGAGTAAGAAGGCAGCGCTAGCCTGATAAGCAACTTTATGGCGTTAACCAAACAATATGTTACTGAACAGCAATGGGAAGTACTGCTATTTTCAGATCACTCGTTTTAAAAAAAAGAAGAGCAGGGAAAAGAAGAAAGGGAAAGTCCTCCAGAACGTCCAACTAGATCTTACTATTGTTCATGAAATAAAAATTTTGTGATGGGATCTGGGACTGGAAGACTGTGTATCAGGTGCAGGCGGTATTTCCCAAGTACCCTCCTCACTGCTATACGGCACAAAGACAACAAATTTCTGGGGCAGCCTGCAAGGAAACAGACAGTGAACAATGAGAAAGCAAAGAAAAAAATCCCACAATGCCTACAAATAATGCCTATGTTTTGTCAAAGAGAGTGGAGGTACTTCTCAAAAATTTGTAAACTTTCCTAGACAGAGTTTGGAAATATTATCAATGTTTATTTATTATTTATTATATTATATTATATTATATTATATTATATTATATTATATTATATTATATTATATTATATTACTGATCTACAACTATAATTGTGGTTGGAATATTTTCATTTTACACAATGGTTACCTATGAGAAAAACCTCAATTCTGATGTATCTATCTGATAGTCAGATTCAGAGGATCTCAAGTCTTCATCCTATCTTCTGTCTCCATAGGCCAGACTTGTCTGGTTTTCAAAAACTGCTACTTTGAGTTTAAATGATGTATGTGTGTGTGTTGTGGGGTGTAGTTGAAAGGAAATATTAATTAAACAGAAAGTAATGGCATCTGCAGTGATCATGGAAAGAACAGCCTTCTCTGTTGTGGCACCCCAGTTATGGAACTTCCCAATGCCCACCAACATTGCTATTATTCCAATGCCCAGGGAAAACGTATTTGTTCACTAAAGCTTAGGGGGGCCTAATTGGTTTTCCCCAATCCTTGTATGTACATGGGTTTAAATTAGTTTAAACTATTTTAGCCAGTTTTAATCTATATCTCCAAACGTGTTAAATTGCTCAATATGTTTTTAGCCTTTTAAAATTAATTTTATTATTTACACAGCTTTAAATGTATTATACTGCTTTTATTGTATGCTGCCCCGAGATTTCTAGGTAGAGGGCAGGTCAAAAATATTTTAATAAATCAATGTTCAGTATTATTCAGTCACAGGTTGGGAAACAGGATTCATGACTGCTAGAGAACCCCATCAAGAAGAATATAGCTCCAATGGAATCTTATGCAATTTCCTCTCCACATTCAAACCCCCAAAGTGTTGCAGAATTTTTCTACCATAAAAACATATGAGCATCTGAGCAACATTCTGTTTTCTGTGCAGAAAAGACTGTTTCCTGCACCAAAAAGCATGGTTTTTTTTTCTATGCAAATAATCCTCTGCAACATTTTGGGACATTCAAATATAGGGTGAATACTACAAAAAATGATTGTTCTCTTCTGGAGTGGGGAGATAACTAAATATAATTAGTCATCCCTATTGCTGCCCATTTCACACTCCTGCTATTCATGATTGTGTCAAAGGAAACCCCACTATGTACATGAACCCTACCTCCAAGCATAGGGAGCTTGGTTTGATTGCAACTGGTACATATATTATCCTTCTCACAGAGCTGTTAGTTCCTATTCTATGATAAACTACTTTCCCCTGCTTCATCTACATTCTCTGTGGACTTTTATAAAATTCCTTATTTTTACTAGGTAGTATCACACATCTTGAAAGGAACAGCCAAGCCGCTGGAGGTGGGGGCAGGAAGACAAGGGAGAGTACATACTTTTATAACTACAAACAAAAAAATACACTAGAGAAGGCCCCATCAATTCACAGTGCCTCTTTTGCCAGCTGACATCAACATGTGAAAGATTTACTTGAATTATTGCTTTCAGTCTTCATAAATTTGCTAACAGAATGAATCACGTGGGCTTCTTGAGATGTTTTTAGTTGGACCTACCTCACAAGAAGATGGAATTCAGTGCAGGCTGCATTCTAACACATTTGCCAACATTTAGAAGAAGCATTTACATTCACTTTCTCATAAACAAATGAGTCTGTGCTGCTCAATAAATCACTAACAAGACTGAATGAGGATGAATATATCTCAGTTCAGTCTGGATACTACAGAGGTGATTATAGCGAGTAACTTGGGGAATGAGTTGTTGAGGATTTTTCTTTCTGAATGTCTTCTGTAAGGAATTGGTTTGCTTGTGCTGCATCCACAGCTCTGAACGCCATTTATCAACTTCATTGAATGTTGCCCACTGCTGAAAGTGCATCCTACAATAGTGGCCTGCCTGCTAAGGAGTGTGAATTAATATATTGCTCTGAATGGCTGTTTTGAAGCACCTGTACTACCTGCCAGATTTTTTTCTAACCTCTAGTCTCACTTTTGCAGAGCTACACAGATCCATTACTTATAGAATTTGATGGCTGTATTTACTGATTATGTGACAGAGTTTTATGATTAAATTTGAAGGCTGCTGGGAACTTTTAGCAGAAGAACAGGATACAATTTTTTTAAAATAATTTTTATTATTTGATTCTGATTATTGCAGGGAACATCTGCTCAGTAACACCACCAAAGTCCCATTAGGGGATCATCAGTGTAACTCTTACAACATTTGTCTAACAACATGATTCATATGCCTTCCTCCCTGCTAACTTTCTGAAATGTGAATTATGTTTTTGTTTCAGTTGGACTTTTCAAATGAGATTATATTTTTTTCTCCTTAAGCTCATATCCTATGATGTTATTTAGCTTTCTGATTAAATATTAGAACATATTTACCAATTCCCATTATTTCACACACACACACAATTTCAGCAAAGAACATTTCAATCAAATGGTAGCTGTAATGGACATTCAGTTCACTGAGCTCTCATCTGCTAGAATGAAATGTTGACACCCAATAAATTCTTTGTACTCACTCCTGGCTTCTTTGAACACCCGCATGGCTTCTGGGTTTACTGTGATCCTTCCTGTAGCTCCTTCAACCAGTGTTTCCCATTTCACCAGGTTCAGGTTGGCACCAAAGTCAATCAAGAGGCTGACAAAGGCCACATCACAGCCATGTCGCAAGACAGCATCCATCACACACACTGCAGAGCCCCTGGAGAAGCCCTGAATATTTACAGGGCCGTAAGAGTTAAAATCTGGATTGGCTCCTGCTTGCAGAAGTAGCTTGAAGCAGGACAGATTGTGATAGGCTGCACTAATATACAAAGGGCACACCACCAAGGTTGTAAGTGGTCGAGAAGTTGGACTAGGGGTCCCAGAGGCCAAGTGATGATTGACATCCACATCAGCGCCATACCTGAGAAGAGAAAAATCATTTTGAAAGATCCTTTTTGTGGGAAGGGCTGGGAGTTGCTTAGCAACTACAAAATCCAATTCATATAGACATATACCTCATCCCTTGTAGATCCTGTCATCTCCAAACGTGATCTTTTTAAAATCTAACCCTGCGTGGACTGCATGTGGCTTCCTCTTTAGAATATCCTTAGAATTGCTACAGAATAAACAGAAGTATGAGAATGGCTACAGAATAGATAAGGCAGGAAATTATTATCTGCTCCTGCTTTATTCTCATCCTGGACACAGAAAGACAGGAATATGGTTTATGAATTATGAAATCAGCTGTATAACATCAGCCCAGAAAAGCTTGAATCTAGGGAAGCTGCTGGCTAGATTCTCTCTGCTCATGACACATACCTTTCAATTTTTGGATCAGATGCAATTGTTAGACTGTAGATAAGGATTGCATGATCTGGTAAAAATGCTCAAGTATCCTTATCTACACTGTCAGGTTATAGTTTTGGTTGCTACATCCGATGCCTTCACATTCAGAATGCAGTTGAATGACTCTGCTCTCTTTGTCTGTTACTGTACTACAAAGTCCTAGTAGTGAGGCTACTGTGAGTTGCTAGGGAACAGGGGTGTGTTTTAAAACAAATTATCTCCATACAGATTTACAAATGTACATGTTACTATCCTGCTTAAAATATGTGCCTTTGCTAAATCACCTTTCATTCTGTTAGGGCGACGTATAGGAATATATTGATATATATACATATATACATACATCTACACATCCACACACATTTCCCCTACCCTAGTGCTGAGACTATTAGTAGTCAACTAGCTTTATAACAGCTTTTACATGGAAACAGAGAACTCTTATTAATCAGAGCAGGATCTCTGGCAAGACCCCAG